ATGTGGTAGTCTGTTTCTTGAAGAGTTACTACAGTCTTGGAAACCCTATGGGGAGTTCTATTCTGTCCTATGGGGTTGCAATTGACTCACGGCAGTGGGTGTGGTTTGGTGGTTTTTTGTTTTTAATTTTTTGTTTTTAATTGGTTGAATGTTTATAGAGCAGATCATCAGGTTTATTTTTAATAAATCACACACATTTCATTTTATTTCAATGATTGCAAATCCCCCAAATGTACTATCACTTATCCCACTTCTTCTTTGCGTTTCTTGTTTCTATTCCTCCTTCTTTCCCATCCCTTCTGAACTGTGTCCTCAGGTACACGTTGCCTTTTTTTTATCTCAAATGATTATTATATGGTGTTCGTACCTCACTAACGTTGTTCCCTCTGTAGATTTATCTGTTACTTGGCTCACAGGGTGAGTTCAGCTCCAGCCTGGAAGGATGACCAAGGGTCACACAGTGGGGTTCCACAGTGGCCATTAAGGCTGATCTTTTCTATGATTTTGAGTTTTGTTCCACATATTCTCCCATTCTATCTAGAACCTTTTATTACAATCCCTTTTAGAGCAGTTGGTAGTGGCATCTGGGAACCATCTAATTTTTCCAGTCTCAGGATCGTGGATACTAATACTCATATACTGAGTCCATTAGTACACTGGACTAATTGTTGCCATGTGTCTTTTTTTCCCCATCACTCTTCTTCCTCTGGACAGGGAGAGACCAGTAGTTGAACTTTAGATGGATGCTCATGAGGTTTTAAGATCCCAGTCGCTACTCACCAAAGTAGGATGGAGAACACTGTCTTTGTGGACTGTTAAGCCAAATGATCATAGTATCTCCTAAGATACTCCAGGTCCAGTGACTCATTCCCTGAAGTTGCTTGGTTTTGTCTAAGAAGATTTCCTAACTTTCCCTTGTAAGTAGTGATACTGAAATATCTTTTTCTGAATGCTGTGATAACTGTTAGTTGCCACCAAGTCGAATCCAACTCATGGTAATCACATGTTTGTAGTTTAGAACAGTTCCTTAGACTTTCCCGAGCTGTGACCTTTCAGAATTATATCACTAGGCGTCTCTTAAGTGCCTCTGAACAAGTTCAAACTGTCAACTTTTCAACTAGTAGTTGCATGGAGTCTTGGTGTGGCACTGTGGGTTATTGCACTAGATTGCAAAGTTGGTTGGAACTACAAGGTCAGCAGTTCAAGCTCACCAGATGCTCCTTGGAAACCCTATACAGGGTCACTATGGGTCGAAACCGATTCGACAGCACTTAACAACAATAGTAGCATGCATAACTGTTTGTACCTTGTAGTCACCTATAGTAAACTGAAGAAAGTAATGAATAAACAAGAACTTTACTTGTAGTCATCATAATATAAACAAAAACTCCCTGCCATCAAGTTGAATCAAGTTCAGAGTGACACGATCATATAGAGTAGACTTTTGGTTTTCAAAGATTATAAATCTTTATGGAAATTGTTATTGTTAAGTGTCATTAAGTTGGTTTTAATTTACAGCAATGCTATATAGAATGTCTGAGTAGTGACTGGTAGGTTTGAACTTTCTACCTTGCAGTTAGCAGTTCAGTGTTTTTCCTGAAGCATCAAACCAGGATTCCAGGATGATACAGCCTCACCTTTCTCCCTCAGAGCAGCTGGTGAGTTTGAACCACTGACCTCAAAGTTAGCAGCCTACCACTTAATGCACTTCACCATGAGGGTTCCATAAATGAGGAGCTTCAAAAACAATGGATTAAAAGTTAATGAAATTTTCCTTGTACACACATATGTGAGGGCTTAAAAAAGTTTGTGGAAAAAAAATCCATTTTCTTTCAATTCCACTTTTTCACGAACACCATTCATAGTGTATTTGCAGCAAAGTTAAATATCTATGGAAAAATATCCTGTCAAAATGATATCTGTTTGTGGATATACTGCCACGCTCCCTCCCATATCCACTCAGCCTACATGTCTTTTCAAACATCAATCCATGTTGTTATAGTTAGATGCTACTGAGTTAGTACTGACTCATAGCAATCCTATGCACAACAGAACAAAACACTGCTCAGTCCTGGACTAACCTTATAAATGTTGCCACATTTAAGCCCATTGATGCTGCCACTTGGCCAATCCATCTCGCTGGGGTCTTCCTCTTTTTCTCTGACCTTCGACCTTACCAAACATGATGTCCTTCTCCAGTGACTGGTCCCTCTTGACAATATGTCCAAAGTATGAGAGACAAAGTTTGGCCATCCCGGCCTCCAAGGAGCACTCCTGCTGCACTTCTTCCAACACAGATCTGTCGGTTCTTTTGGCAGCCCATGGCACTTTCAATAGTCTCCTTCAACACCACTATTCAAAAGCATCAATTCTTCTTCGGTCTTCCTTATTCACTGTCCAGCATTCACATGCATATGAGGTTATTTAAAATACATGGTTTGGGTCAGGTGCACCTAGACCTCAAGCTGACACCTTTGCTCTTCAACACTTTAAAAAGGTCTTGTGCAGCAGATTTGCCTAAAGCAATATGTCGTTTGATTTCTTGACTGCTGCTTCTATGAGTGGTGATGGTTGATCCAAGAATGAATTCCTTGATAACTTCAATCTTTTCTCCGTTGATAAGAATGTTGTTTATTGGTCCAGTGGAGAAGATTTTTGTTTTCTTTACATTGAGATACAATCCATACCAAAGGCTGTGGTCCTTGATCTTCATCAGTATTTTAAGTCCTCTTCACTTTCAGCAAGCAAGGTTGTATCATCTGCATATTGCAGGTTGTTAATGATTCTTCCTCCAATCCTGATGCCACATTTTTCTTCATACAATCTAACTTCTCGGATAATTTGCTCAGCATACAGGTTGAATAAGTATGGTGAAAGAATACAACCCTGTCATACACCTTTCTTAATTTTAATCCATTCAGTGTTCCTATGTTCTGTTTGAACAACTGTCTCTTGGTCCATATATAGGTTTCTCATGAACACAATTAAGTGTTCTGGAATACTCATACTTTGCAATGTTGTCCATTGCTTGTCATGATCCACATGATTCACATTGAAAGCCTTTGCATAGTCAATAAAGCACAGATAAACATCTTTCTGATATTCTCTGCTTTCAGCCAAGATCTGTCTGATGTCAGCAATGATATCCCTCATTCCACGTCCTCTTCTGAATCCGGCTTGAACCTCTGGAAGTTCTCTGTCAATGTATGCTTGCAGCCGTTTCTGTATTACCTTTAGTAAAACTTTACTCGAATGGAATATCAAAGATATTGTCCGATGATTTCCACATTCCATTGGGTCACCTATCTTTGGAATGGGCACAAATACGGATCTCTTCCAATCAGTTGGTCAGACAGCTGTCTTCCAAATTTCTTGGTATAGATGAGTGAGTGCCACCTAATTTTCTTGAAAGATTTCAATTTTTATTCCATCAATTCCTGGTGCCTTGTTCTTTGCCAATTCCTTCAGTGAACCTTGGACTTCTTCCTTCAGTATCATTGGCTCTTGATTGTATGTTACCTCTTGAAACAGTTGAACATCAACCATTTCCTTTTTGTACAGCGACTCTGTGTATTCCTTCCATCTTCTTTTGATGCTTTCTGCATCTATCGATTTTGTTGCTAAGTGCTGTCGAGTCGTTTCCGACCCATAGCGACCCTGTGTGGGGTTTCCAAGGAGCAGCTGGTGAGCTTGAACCACCAACTTTGCAGTTCAAACTGACTTTGCAGTCTGGCGCATTAACCCACAGCGCCACACCAGGACTCAGGATTGTGTATATAACAGTATTCATCTCTGTTGCCTTTAACTCTTGCACTTATCCCTATGTTTGCCCCTGTCTCTATTATTTTCTTTACATCCTTATTGTATATTGACTTCTGGTCTGGCATTTTTTGGTTCTTTTCAGCATTATGACTGGGGTGCTGATGCTAATGGAATCTAGTGGGTAGATGCCAGGGATGCTACTAAACACCTTACAATGAATCGGACATTCTCTCTATGGGCAAATAATTATCTAATCCAAAATACTAGTAGTAATGAGGCTGAGAAATTCAGACCTAGATGGCCATGAAACGTTAGGGTCCCTTGCAAGCAAGTAGTGCTTAGGATTTTTAAGTTCATCTTCCTTTTGGAAAGGCAGCATGTGATTAGTGAGAGCAGGGTGTCTAGGGCTGGAGGCTCAGTTTTAACACCGAACTAATAGCTTCTTTCGGAATGACTAAGAGCTACAGTGGTTATGCAGCAGCTGGAGGCGATGCAGAAAAGATGGCACGCTAAGAGGACTGTGGACAGTAAACTGATCTGCACATTCTGGTTAAGGCGGGCCACAATGCTTTGTAAACCAAGTGCTTCAGACACTGACTGAGATGTCCTTTGCTGTTGTTGTTAAGTGTTAAGTTGGTTGTGGGTGAGAGCGACTGGTGAGTTTAAACCACCTACCTTTTGGTTCAGACTGACCCTGCAGACCAGCGCAGTATCCTGCAGCACCACACCACGTCCTTTGTTGTTGTTGAGTGCAATCGAGTGGGTTCCGACCCATAGCTTCCTGTATAGCGCTTCCCAAGAGCAGCTGGTGGGTTTGAACCGCCAACCTTGAGGTTTGAACTGACCTTGCAGTGCAGCGTATTATCGTGCAGCGACACACCAGGACTCTCCTGGTTGTTGTTTAGTGCCATCGAGTCGGTTCAGACTCATAGTGACCCTGTATAGGGTTTCCGAGGAGCGATTGGTGAGCTTGAACTGCCACACTTGCTGCCCAGCGCATTAACCCACAGCGCCACTCACTAAACGTGAACTTCCTGCAGCTGGGAAAGCTTTGAGAAGCAAACCGGAAGCAGCATGGTGGCTTAGGCGTCCTTCTCCTCTAGCAACGGTTGTGAAGGAAGTGGTAGAGTTAACCACGCCTTTTGCGCCTGCGCCGAGGTGCCTCCTGCTGACGTGGAAGTGGCCTGGGACCGCGGAGCCTGGCGCGCCGCGGTGAGTGGGATCTCCGTTTGGTGGTGGAGCCGCAGCCAGGGCCGGGATGGGAGTTCCGCTCGCTCCGAGTCGGGAAACCAGGGCTGTCGGCCGGTACTGGTTGTCTTTGTTGCCACTGCTGCTGCTCGTACGGCCTGCGGGGGCTCTGTTGGAGGGACTCTATTGCGGCACTCATGACTGCTACGAGGTGCTGGGGGTGAGCCGCACTGCTGGAAAGGCGGAGATCGCGCGGGCCTACCGCCAGCTGGCCCGGCGCTATCACCCTGACCGCTACCGGCCCGGTGACGAGGAACCCGGACGGACGCCGCAGAGCGCCGAGGAGGCCTTCCTGCTAGTGGCCACGGCTTACGAGACTCTCAAGGTGAAGCCTGGGGCTGTGGGTGGGATGGAGAACCCGCCGTGGGAAGCACGTGGCGCGGCGATCTATGCCTCCTGTCCACAGAGAGTGGTCTTCGATGACCCCGACGTCCTGCCGCTTCCTCCTCGGAGGAGGTTCATGCTTTTCCAGGCGACCCATTGACAAGGGTTGGAGCTCCTGGACCTTGAGGCTAGGGGGTTGGGTGGGCCGGTGATTCTGCAGCACTCCTGTAAAAATGGCGTGGCAGAGGTATCTGACCTTCTCTAACTGCATGAAAGGGACAGAGAAGGTTAACAGTCCAAGGCTTCTTATTATGAGTTGGAGGTCAGACATACCTCCCTCATCTTTCCAACCGTTAAATTGTTTTTTTAAGCAATTCTAAAACCAGCTACCTTCCCACAGCACTCTCTTCTCTGCCAAATTTGATAATTTGTTGCAGTGACCACACACAAGGTACTATGGGGTTTATCAGGAAATGAACAAATTCAGTATCAGGACAGATGCAGGAGGTAGTCCTCCTTCAGGTCAGCTTGTTTTGAACTGTGCAGTCAGGCCCCCTGGCTTGACCTCTGCTCTGCTGGGGCAAGGATTGTAAAGCTCGCTAGGTCCACTGATAAACACTTGTGGCATCCCACTCCATCAGTAAGCCTTGGTCTGAAAACCTGTGGCTCTCTAGTTCTGTGGTTGGGTAAGCCTAGCTTTTGCAAGCCGAGTTCCATCTAGCTTTAGCCTCAGACTGCTCCAGATGTGATGTTTCTCCTCTCAGCCCTTAGGTATTAACAGCCAAAGTAACCAGCTAAGAAACAAAAGTGTCACTTTCCATGCCTATTCATTCCTTCACTTTCAGTATCCCATGCTTCTAACAGCAACTACAAATGTTTGTGGTGGAGGTGGCTAGCCTGCTCTGAGGAGTTAGAGAATCAACATTAACAGCCCAAGGCTGTTGATGAGGTAGAGGTCATCAGACATACCTCTTGTCTTGAACCATTTGACCAACTGTCATTCCCGCTCCACTCTCTGCTGAGTTCAATAATTCCTTACAATGGCCATACAGAATTCAGACCATACTAACAATTATAGGGTTGGTTAGGGAAGCAACAGGTTACAATTCAGAATTAGGAACAACTCAGGATACAGTTTTTCAATCACGACAGCCTCTCTGCATGCAGACCTCTTGGCGTCTTGGGGTGGCCTGGCCTCTGCCTTGCTTTGGTAAGTATTACAAAGCTCTTTAGCTCCACCAATAAGTGCATAAAGGCACCCCATTTCACCAGTAAGCTTCCTGCCTAAAGGTGCTCAGTCCTCTTGCTCTATGGGTCAACAAACTTAGCTCCCCCAAGTGCCTACGCTGCCAGCAAACTTCCTGCCCAGAGGTGCTTGGCTCTCTCACACCAAGCCCACCACAGACTCCTGGTTCTGCTGCTTTTTGGCTGCTGCTGCTTCTCACCAACTCTGGTTTTGCAAATCTCCATCTCATGGAACTAGGAGCTTCCCAGTGAGGAAGCCCCGGTCCAAAGAATACACTCCACTCCCATCTCTTCTTGCTAATAGTCAAGTTCCCTTTTTCCTCCTTGGGACTGGCTGAATTTAAGACTACTGACCTGGCAAAACTGACCAATTCTCTCGTTAGGGTTCTAAAATCTTGTTTGTATGATTCTACTTCCACATAAACTGTGAGTATATACTTGAACTTTGCTGGATAGAATCTGTAGGAGTTAAATCAGTTGCATCTATTGAAAGATATGATGGAGAAGATCAATATCATTAGTCAGAACAAGGCCAGGGCCAACTGCAGAACAAGATCATCAGTTGCTCGTATGCAGGTTCAATTTGAGACTGAAGAAATTTAAAACAAATTCATGAGAGCAAAGGTATGATCTTGAATATATCCCACCTGAATTTAGAGACCAACTCAAGAATAGCTTTGATGTATAAAACACTAATGACCAAAGAGCAGCCAAGTTGTTGGATGTCATTAAGGATATCCTATGTGAAGGAAACAAAGAGTTGTTAAAAAGACAGGAAAGAAACAAAAGACAAAAATAATGTCAGAAGAAACTGAAACTTGCTCTTGAGTGTAGAGAAGAAGTCTTGAGTTGCAGTATTGAAGGATTTCATGGATAACGTATTGAAAGATGAAGGAAGCATAATGGGAAGATGGAAGGAATACACAGAATCATTGAAATAAAAGGAAATAATCAGTGTTCAGCCATTTCAGGAGGTAGCATCGGACCAAAAACTTACTGAAGGAGGAAGTCTAAATAGTGCTGAAGGCATTGATGAAAAACGTTCCAGGAATTGATGAAATACCAATTGAGATGTTTGAACAAATGGTTGCAGCACTAAGGTGCTTAACAGTGGTGTGGCTGATCAACTGTAAGAAATCCACATTCATACCGGTTCCAAAGAAAGGTGACCTAACAGAATGTAGACATTATCAATATCATTCATATCACACTCAAAGTTTTGCTAAAGATAACTCAAAAATAGTGGCAATAGAATATCAACAGGAAATTGCCAGAAATTCAAGCCAGATTTAAAAGAGAATGTGGAATGAGGTTTATATCATGGTTTATGTCAAGTGGATCTGAACTGAAAGCAGAGAGTGCCAAAAGAGGTTTACTTGTGTTTTACTGAATGCACAAAGGCATTAGACTATGTGGATTATAACAAATTACAGATGACAATTTGAAGAATGGGCATTCCAGAACACTTAACTGCTTATGCAGAATGTGTATGTAGACCAAAAGGCACTAGTTAAACAGCACAAGGGGATGCTGTATACTTTAGAACCAGGAATGGCGTTTATCTATATTGCATCCTTTACCATATTTATTTAAGGAGCTCTGATAGTGTAGTGGTTACAAGTCAGGCTGCTAACTTTAAGGTCAGCTATTCAAAACTACCAGCTGTTTTGCAGGAGAAAGATGAGACATTCTGTTCCCGTAAAGCTTTACAGCCCTGGAAGCCTTATGCAGGGTCGCTATGAGTCAGAACTGATTTCACGGCACACCGCCATACTTAATTAATGCTGAAGCAATAACCTGAGAGGCTGGATTATATGAAGAGGAATACGCGTCAGGATTGAAGGAGGAAGACTCATAAACAACCTGTGATATGCATATGAGAGGACCTTGCTTGCTGAAAGAGGACTTGAAGCACTTAACTGCTGAAGATCAAAGGCTATAGCCATCAGTATGGATTACAACACAGCATAAAATAAAAGTCCTCACAACTGGATCATTAAGCAACATCATAATCAATGGAAAAAAGATTGAAGTTGTCGAGGTTTTCATTTTACTTGGATCGACGATCGATGCCCAGGGAAGTTGTTACATGGGGCAAATCTGATGCAAAAGACCTCTTTAAAGTGTTAAAGAGTGAAAACGTTACTCTGAGGACTAAGGTGTACCTGACTCAAGCCATAGTATTTTCATTCGCATCATATGCATGTGAAATTGAATAAGGAAGACCATAGGAGAATAGATGCATTTTTGAATTGTGACTTTGGATAGTGCATATACTGTGAACTGCCAGAAGAACAGACAAACCTGTGTTGGAAGAAGTACAGTCCGAATGCTCCTTAGAAGCCAGGATGGTGAGACTTCATCTTATGTACTTTGGGCATGTTTCCAGAAGGATGGAAAAGGACATCATGCTTGGTAAAGAGTCAACAAAAAGGAAGCCCCTCAGATGGACTGACAGTGGCTGCAACAATGTACTGAAACAGCAAGGATTGTGGGGATGGTACAGGACTGGACAGTGTTAGTTCTGTTGTATATAAGGTCACTATGAGTTGGAACTAACTCTAAGGCACCTACAGCAACATCACAACACCCTCTACAAGGGTTCCATGCACTTTATTTGCATTATTAGTAAACTGTTCAATTCCTTTGGTGGGCCATAAGCACCTTATTTGCATGGGCCTTACCCATTCATTGGAGTCCTGGTGTGGTGCTGTGGGATAATACGCCAGACTTCATAGCCTTTTGAACTGCAAGGTCGGCGGTTCAAGCTCATCAGCCGCTCCTCAGAAACCCTATATAGGGTCACTGTGGGTCTGAATCGACTCATTGGCACTTAACAACAAAAACAACCCATTCATTAGTACCCTGGTATGACACTGTGGGCTAATGCACTGCACTGCAAAGTCGGTTTGAATCACAAGGTTGGTGGTTCAAGATCACCAGCTGTTCCTTGGAAATCCTATACAGGGGCACTATGAATCGGAACTGACTCGACGGCACTTAACAACAACAACCCATTCATTTGGAGTCCTGGTGGTGCTGTAGGATCAGTGCTGGATTGCAAGGTTGGTTTGAACTGCAAGGTTGGTGGTGCAGACCTACCAGCTACTCCTCGGAACCAACTCGATGGCACTTAATAACAGCCCACTCACTTGGAGTTCTGGTGTGGCGTTGCCAAACCTGAGGTTAGCAGTTCAGGCCCACCAGCTGTTCCTGGGAAACCCTATACAGGGTCACTATGAGTTGGAGCAGACTTGACAACACTTAACAACAACAACTCACTCATTTGGTGGGTGGAAGTTACATGACCAGGGCCAGAAAAGCCATCTATAAGTGATACATTGCACCATGGAAAAGGTTTTTCCTCCTCCTTTTCCTAAAAATCGTTTTTATGCAGAGCTTTTAGGATTTTAAGATTTACTGGAAGCATTCTAATAGTGCGCAGCTCACACTTGGAAAGGAGGGTGATTGTTATTACCAGGATCTGTAATAGAACAAGCAGGAACAGTCTTGAAAATTGAATGACACTTGTGATGACTCTTAATTTGTCATGGCATAAATTTGTTTTCTGGAGGTAGTATTAATTATGACATTTAGCTTGGAACGAGAAAAACACTAAGAACAATAAACAATAAATCAGAATACAGGGTGTTTGATTCTTGGATCTGCCACCCCTGTATGGCCTTGGGTATGTGACTGAATATGTCCAAGTAGCAATTTCTGCAGTAAATTTACTTTTACTAATCCTCCTAGCAG